AATATTTATTTGTATTTTAATAACCAAAAAAATTATTTAAAATCAGTATATTAAATCGTTTTTATCTTTCCTAATTGATGACGCTAAAAATATGCAAATATACATTTTTTCACATTATTGCCGAGAAAAAAATACCCCTTTGAATGTAAATGTGATACAAATTGCGAAAATATATTTTACAAAATAATTTAAGTTTTATGGTTTATTTTCTAACCATATTTTGTAGTTAATTATAAGACAACCATATTTTTTTTAATAAATAGAGTAATGCATCCACCAGAAAATTTGTTGTTTTTTGACAATAATCTAATCTGTTCTTCATTTTAAATAAGCTCTTTTGTGAATTAAATAGGTAAGTATTAGAGACTCGTCGAAGCTATCGGCACACACTTGTCTCATAAACGTTATATGTGCACCAAAAAGTTACTATTTCTAATAAGACAATTTTGCACCATTCGAAAACGTTAAATTTGTCGTTGATAATTGTTTGGAGTCAAATACATCAGTTAGTCTTGCATCTAAAATCTAATAGATAACAAATCATTACAAAACCGAACAATATGAGCAACATCTAAGAAAATGTCTTATATACCAACGCATTCCTTGCCTCAGAATTTCGTTTTTGTCTCGGCTGAACTGTTTCAAAAAAAAAAAAAATGCTGCATACCTTCAGGCCCGTTGGCAATTCATATTAATTTTATTGATGGGCAACTCAAACAAAAGTCGACTTAGGTTTCCCTAGCTGGTTGTCATCAGCTCGTATCGAAATGGAAACCTATTTTCTATGCAGTGATATTTGACAAGGTAAATTACAGAAAATGCAGAAAAGGGCCTTATAATTTGAAATGATTAAATTGTACCATGCATTTTCCCTGCCCCCCCGCGCAATCCCAATCGACTATGAATAGTTCAGTACTCGGTTTTCACCCAAGTCCATAGTCGAGTTCGGGAAACGATAGTAGCAACTAGTTCCGCGCTCTTTAGAGAAGTTGTTTAATTTTCTTTTCTCACGTCTCATTCGTAAACAACAGAGTAGTCGGGCGTTATGCATTACACTCATTCATAAACAACATATTTGTTTGGTTGGGACGTTTTTCATTCCTGTTTTCAACGCTCGCAACGAACAACCAACCAAACGAAAGCGCGCGCTCGAAGCAACTCCGAACAACAATAAGTCCAAAAGGGGGGATAAAGCCAATAAAACAATCAAGGAATTGGATGGGACACATTTGTAAGTAAGTAATTCTAATTGCTTTGCTATGCATACACCTTGGACAACCAAGGATAAAGTGGCGTCATTTGTAAGATGGTGGAGATCGGACCCGGATCCTGATGCTAATGCAAAATCTGCTGTGAAGATGGGGATACTGCTATATGGGGGCTATACGAAGGCGTGGACCTGCACAGACAATTTTCTGTCTTAGGCTATGTTATCCATTTCGAACTTCAAATACCAAATTGGAAACAATTCCGGTGAATAATATCGCTAAAATTATCAAAATATTAAATATAGGAAGGTATCGATATATGGGGGCTATATGATAACGTGGACCTTCATGGCCCATTTACGAACTTAACCTGCCTACTGGCAAATAATTTAATAAAGAAATTACAAATTATAGTTATCAAGCATAAAAACGTTGCAAACAGGTGTGAGATTCCGTAATCTGAACACTGGCCATAAATTGACTAGACAAGAGCATTGGTGCAGAGGTGTGTTTTTTTTTTGGCTTAACTCTAGTTTAGTAGAAACTCTTCAATTTTTTCCAGTGGTAGGTATTTTTACCCTGATCCTTTTCTTGGGGGACGGACCCGGGACCCCAGATTCTTGACCCCAAAGTCCGGGTTCAAAATCCCGACTAGACCCGGATCCAATTACCCGATATATACAATATAGGAAAGCTTATAAAAAAAGTGGTCACATGATGGAGTAAGTGGTCACGGTTCGTAAGTTATAGTCAAATTATCGATTTTTTGGACCCGAATTTTTTATAAAACCCCCAAAAAGTTGAAAAAGGCCCCATTATGGGAGTCAACAAAATTGATGGCAATTTATAGCTGATACTCTTACCTTTCCAAAATGCTACAATTTGTGCTATTAACTTTACTGAGTCCAGATATATGGGTCTTTCCATCCGCATAACCCGATTCTAACCAGTTCATTAAAATTATGTTTTCAATAAAAAAGGTTTATTTCGCGTAGCCGTCGTTGGATAACAAAAGCACCACATTAAGAAAACTTTAGTTCGCGTTAGCCGGTGTTGGACATACTCAGAGGAGAAAATCTCAAGCCCCGGCCAAAGGCCGGCTATTTACAAAAAGTGTCAAATTTAGAAAACTTTTTTAATTCCAACAATGGCTACGCGAAATAAACCCTTTTTTTACTGAAAACTATTTAATTAAACTGGGTAGAATCGGGTTATGCGGATGGAAAGACCCATATCTCTGGACCCGAAAAGGCATTAGTACAAATTTTTAACATTTTGGAAAGGTAAGAGTGTCAGCTATAATTTGGCGTCAATTTTGTTGAACCCCATAATGGGCCCTTTTTGGACTTTTTGGGGGTTTTATAAAAAATCCGGGTCCCAAAAATCGATAATTTGACTATAACTTCCACTCATGACCACTTGTTGGATAGGTATTTTCATAAGCTCTCCAACGATACCTATATTATGTAATTGGGTCCGGATCCAGGCCGGGTCTTAAACCCGGATTTTCGGGAAATCTTGGGTCCCGGGTCTGCCCCAAGAAAAAGAATAGTTTCCCGGAATCAGGGTAAAAATACCTACCTCTGGGAAAACTAGAGTTACTTTTTTTTAATCAATTTGTGTGAGCAGTGCTTCAAGAGAACACAACCCCCTTATATTCAAAGATCAACAAAAACAAATTGTATGAAATTGGCGCGTTTTTGTGTGCTTTTAATCGTTCCAATTGCAGATGTTAACATTTTCTTTGTTATCATTAAAAATAATATAAAATAAACATCGTGTTCAAAACAGATATAGAAAGAAGAGATGAAATTTTTTTGTTTATTTCGCTATCATTGCAATATCTGCGGAATTTTGAAAAATAAATAATAATTAAGGTCTTTTGTATTCTGTGCACTCACAATCTTTATTTTATTTATGTTAATGTTTATTGGATTATTGACACGGCACATACATATAAATCTTTATTTAGTATTATGGCAATTTCGTTTCAATTGAAACAGATTATGGATTAGAAATGATTAGATTAAAGGTGTCACTAAAATCTCGGGTTCACTCTAAATAACAGAGAAGCCGATTTCGTACATTTGAAAATTTTCTACGAGTTCGATACCCTGATTACTAGAAAGTATTTATACCCTACACCACATGGTGGTAAGGGTATTATGTCTTTGTGCATTTGTTTGTAACATGGAAAAAGAAGCGAGATAAACCCATAGTTACTTTTGAGGATCTTCATAGAATCACTTTAAGCATGCCAGTTCGGCCGTCCACGTATTGCAGGTCGCATTTATATTCCATTGAGATGAAATTTGGAAACAATTTGGACGAACCCTCAGGTTTATTGCGCACCAAATGGCTAATATCAGCCCAAATGGACTGAATTTTGGTACATCCGACCGAATTCAGTCTAGAAGCAAGTACATCAAATTAGGAGAAAATCGGTTAAGATATAGCTATGGCTCCCATATATATGTTTCACCCGGTTTTGCGTTTAAGTCCCTCACATTCGTAATATGCATTCGACTCAAATGCTATTTGGTACCAAATATCCTATGGAGCTCGAAAATTTTATCGAGAACGGCTAAGATTTGGATATAGCTCCTATATATACAACTCGGCTCCGATATATATTTTTTAATATAATCCTCCAAATGATATCATGCTCTCTATAGCAAACTATAACTGCCTTAAAGCCAAATGTTGTTGGTGGAAAAAAATTCTTTTGTTACGGGAGCTCTACTAAACATTCATAGTGATTTATGGTATCATATAGTCGGCCCCGCACGGCTTTTGACTTTTCCTTGCTGGGTTTTTCTTGGAGTAACCAAATATTTATCATTAAAGTCCGCATACCGCCCTTGGGTTTACCGAAATAAACGATATTTTGGAACAGCATTTTTTGTAAAATCCCCCAAAGTGAAAGTATTTTCTTTACCATATATAGTACATTTGTTATTCCGTTTGTAACTCCTCGAAATAGGCATTTTACACCCCACAAAGTATAGGTATTCTTGATCAGAATAAGATTCTCTGTCGATTAAGCCATGTCCGTTCGTCTGTGGAAGTCACTCTAGCTTTTGAACGAAATGAAGTAGATTGATAAAATTAAGGTCCATAGAATTTTTGATATTGAATATGGGCTATATAGGTCCACGTTTTAATATAGCCCCCATGTAACTGTACCACCAGATTGAAAGTAATCACATTTTTTAAACAAAATTTACTTTAAGTCGGCCGTTTGTGTTGCCTATATGTAACTCCTCGAAATAGGCATTTAACACCCCACAAAGTATAGGTATTCTTGATCAGTATAAGATTCTATGTCGATTAAGTCGTGTCCGTTCGTCTGTGGAAATCACTCTAGCTTTCGAACGAAACCCCCCATGTGACTGTAGCACCAGATCGAATGTGTTTTTGTCGTCAAATTCTATTTTTTGAACAGAAATTACTTTAAATTGACAGTTTGTGTTCCCAATATGTAGAAAACATCCTCGAAAAATGTCCATAAAGCTCCAAGTTTTGGTATAGTCCCCATATAGCTTTACCCCCAATATTCGGTATTTTGATTATTGGGTTACATTTTCACCGCAATTGTAGCAAATTTGATATTTCGGTTTTGTAATAGGTACTACCTATTTCTTCGTATAGACCCCATATAACGGCTCCTCCCAATATTCAGTATTTTAAGGATTTTAGCTACATCTTTTAAAAGATTTATTAATATATATTATATGTCAGATTGTTTTCTTCGTATAGCCCCCATAAAACGGTTCCTCCCACAATTAGGTATTTTAAGGATTTTAGCTACATCTTTTAAAAGAATTATATCAAACTTTGGGCTTGGAGTTCGTAATAGGCCCACCTTTCTGGCGCATAATTTGTTGTAGAGGTCCATGCTTTCGTAAAGCTCTATATAACTGCAACACCTAAAATTCGAAATTTTTGGAATTATGGCGGTATTTTACAACTCATTTTTTTTTACTTTGCAAGTTTCTTCCAAGTGGTAGAGGTTAGTAAAAGTTTGACCCGGACAAAGTTAGCTGCTTTTTTACATGTTTATGTTAGATGTAGTTTCTGATTATAAGTAACCATATGTAGTCCTTTGTTTATTTACTATGTTGCAGGTATTTATTGGCATTCGAAAACGAGCAGAGCAGTCTACATTCAATCATACGTACTGAGAACATTTCTTCGCCTATACATATAGTTGTGTATATCAGAATTTTCCAAAGTAGGCGTGGATAGGCACCAGTGGATGGGTCCAAACAATATTGAACCCGGTCCAAATCTCCGCCCCAACATTCCGTAAAAACTCAAGTCTTGAAAGCGCAGTATAATAATATATTGATATAGATTAGGTTAAAAGATCCATTCGGAGTTCTGCTGGTCCAATGTTTTCATCCTAAAAGAAAGAAACAGAGAAAGGTAAATATAATAATAGAAGTAATGATTGACCCATGGAGATATTTCGTGATGTCTTTAGCCACTTTAGTCTTCTGGCTAACTGAAGAATAACTGGTAGTTCAGTTTCGGAAAAGGAGCTTACCCATAAGCCTTAGCCTAATTCCAATACAAGTTTTGCCATGGAAATGAGCGACATTGATCTCTTTTTCGAGACCACCGGCCAAATTTTCTTGGAGACATTGCAAGCCCTTGTTCGCACAAGGGTGGCTTCTCCGAGTTCTCGATCTCTAGATTTATTGGTTCGGATACCCGTCTTCGCAGTACATTTAATGATTCATTGCCAGAGATGTTGCAATGGTCTGGAACCCAACAGAGCATTCCTGCACTTCAAAACTGCTACATATTTAATGGTAGATGAATTAAATGCTTTCAGTGCCACTTGACTATCGAAATATATAGTCACCGGTACGTTCACTTCAGTGTTTCTTTTTACAAGAAACTCTATGTATTTTTGAAAGCAAATATCTCTGCCTGGAATACGCTGAAGCTTGAGGAAGTTTCGGATATTCGCTTTCACTGATATCCTGTACCGAACATCCTTGTTATTGTGCGCATATTACGGCTTTGAAGAAAAACAAATTTGGTAAACCATATACTTGAAACCGGATGCAAATATATGTGGGACCCATGGTACAATAAGGAAGTAAAACAGCTGCAAAAACGGCCCTGAAGCTTTGTCCGCTACCTATCACAATAATTGGATATTATATTCAACAAGTTGTTTCCTTTTATTTTAAAATATTCGTCATTCTTTAAATGAGTTAAATAGCTCGAAAGATGAATGAAATACCAGGATTTTATTTCAAAAATATGATATATTTAATGTACGTTTCTTACAGTCATTGATTTTGAAAATATTTAGTTTTTGTTTTTCAAAACAAACAACATAAATACATACACCAAGTTGGCATAAGTCGGGCATACTTACCTTTTTATTGTACTATGTATGGGACCAATACCCAAATCTGAAACGATATCGTAACCTATTTAAATAAATAAAATATTTTAAGGGCATTCCTTGACTGGTTGTTATGAGGCGCTTATTACTGCTTTTGGGGGATGAACATATATTCTGGAGCTATATATGTACCCATTTTCCCCGATTTAACATAGTTATAGGCTATGTGCATATCTTTTGTGCCAAAATCTGCCTATTTGGGCATATATTACACTTTTGGTGGTATATATAAATATATATATATATATATATATATATATATATTTAAAATTATCATACTTTTGATTCCCTATGTATCAAGGTAAAAATGGCTTGGCTTTTGAAAATTTGCAATTTTTTTTTTGGAATTACAATTGTCTTTTATAGGCTTATGTCTTTGCTGCGCCAATTTACATTATGGAGGGGATTTTAGATGGAGATTAGGAGAAGAGGGATGTTTATAATAATTTTCATTCGTTACGCTACTTGGTATTTTGGAAATCTGCTATTTTACAGCAAAAGTTTAATGTTTTGGAGCCATGGTTACAAAAACAGCGAAGCAAACCATCAACCAACCAAGCAGTCAGTCAGCCAGTCATTCATTGTGGCGGTTTTTTTTTCGCTATGCCGATGCCTCTGCTCCGTCAGTTGTTGTTCCTTACCTTTATTTACTCACGTATCAGGCAAAAGTTGAACGTATTGTTGTGCTGAAGATTTTTTATGGCCGCATTGCTTTGTTTTTTGCTATTTTCGCGGTATCGCCATCGATGTTTCTATTTTTTGTTTACCATTTGTTTTTGCGATTCATTGTTAGCGTTTTGGATTTTGGTTTTGTTACACGGTTTGCCAACAGTTTCAGTTCGCTGCTGCTTCAGTTTTCAGTTATAAAAGTGTAATCTCTTTAGCAATGTTGTGTTGTCGTTGTTGTTTTAATGAGGGTAGCCCAATTGCCTGGCTTCGTTGGAGCGTTGTGCAAAACGAAGTAACACAGCCATGAAGTGAGAGAGGCTTTGAGGTGTTTCGCCAAAAACCCGACTTGAGCTACTTTGAACTCTGTTGGTTTTGGATTGATAACGCTGATGATGACGGTGACTATGGTTATAGTGCTTGGTAGTATGCCTACTAACTGTTTTGTTATTTCTGTTTTGGCGCGATGAAACGATAGTCGATTAGAGAGCGCATGTAGTGGTGTTGTGACACACCGTTGGAACGTTTGATGAACGCTTTAATTGTTGCCATTGTTTATATTGCCATTTAGCCTGCCATCGTCGTCATTAGACAGATACGTTCATTATTATAGCATTTTGACTTCTAAAAAGTCACTGACCGATCGCATTCAAACGAAATGAAATTAATGTTCAGGAAAATGACAGAGACTATAAGAAAACAAAAACACATTGTATCTAGCTAGTTAATTCTCTTACGTATGGATTGAATGGTGTCAGATCCTATCGTAACATCTCAATAAATATACAATACCAAAAGTAAGACTAGGACTTCGATATTGCTTAATTCATAGTAATATATGTGTAGTTTGTAATAAGTTCTACTCCCAGTACAATAACGTTATCTCCCGATATTCGGGAATTCAAATGAAACGGTTTTTATCATTTTGTTCTATATTTTCTCCAAGATCGAAACGAAACAAACCCGACATTAAGAAAACGGAACTTGTTTTTATACCCTCCACCTTGGAAAGGAAGGTATATTAACTTTGTCATTCCGTTTGTAACATCCATAAATATTCATCGTAGACCCCATAAAGTATATATATTCATAATCAGCATAAAATTCTAAGACAATTTAACGATGTCCGTCTGTCGGCCCACATGATTTGACGTAGAGCGTCAACATTTAGCAGAACAATTTGTATTGTGCCTAGGATGGTTGGCATTGAAAATGAGATATATCGGTCCACGTTTTGGTATAGTCCCCATATAAGGGTGCCTTTCGGTTTTCGTTATTTTGTTGATTTTTTTCACGAATTTTTATAAAATCGGTCAGTATGGATTTTGCTCATGTGGCGAAACATTGTATGTATAGGTCCACGTTTTGGTATAGCCCCCATATAACGGTACCTCTCGATATTCGGTATTTTGATGATCTTTGCCACATTCTTTCACTTATTTGTCTAAAAATAGGTATTTGTAGGTTATAATAGGTCTGCTGCATGACGCGGCGTGGGAAAAGTGGGTCTATACGATAACGTGGACCTGCATAGGCAACTTTTGTCCCAAACCATTAGAGTATTCAAATGCGGAACTTGAAAAAAATCGGTGAATAATGAAGCTAAAATCATCAAAATACCGAATATCGGGTGGTACCGTTATGTGAGGGCTATACGAAGACGTGGACCTGCAGAGACAATTTTTTGTCATAGATGGTAATATCCATTACGAATTTCAAATACCAAATTTGAAACAATTCCGGTGAATAATGTCACTAAAGTCTTCTAAATACCGAATATCGGGAGGTACCGTTATATGCGGGCTATACGAAGACGTAGACCTGCAGAGACAATTTTCTGTCATAGGCTGTAGTATCCATTTCGAATTTCAAATGCCAAATTAGAAACAATTCCGTTGAATAATGTCGCTAAAGTCATAAAAATACCGAATATCGGGAGACGGACGGCCATCACTAAATCGATTTAGAATTTTATGCTAATTTTTGTGGGGTCTAAAATGTATATTTCGAGGTGTTACATACGAAATGACAAACTTAATATACACTCCATACTATAGTGGAGGGTATAATAATACTTAGAATGACAACTCTAAATGTACCAGCACAGCAAACGTTTGGAAACGTTTCTTGGTGATTCGTTCGCAAACGCAAAAACTCGGCAACTCATAGCTGAAGTACATCGAGGCAATCGTATTGTTTGTGTACTTCTGGCATTGAAGTGTGTGCAGTACAAAACGATTGAAAACAATTAAAGTGTTTGTAACTTGGTGTGAGCGGTCCGTTATTAGCCTCGTTGGTTTTCGTACGCTGATTTAACTGCATTCTGCACCTATTATTCAAGTAATTTTTATTTGAATTTCAACCGCGAATTACGAATTAAATTCTAAAATTACAAGTAAAAAAATCGAATTAGAAATTAAATTTGCGAATTACAAGAAAAATGTTTCGAATTACATTGGAAAAGAGTGTAGTACTTGCAGTTTCAAATGGAACTTAAAATCGAATATTTAATCGCAATACTTTTTATTATAGAAATTGGAGTTATCTCATTGTGGAAGGTATTAAAAGGCTTTTCTATTCTAACTCAAGTCATTGGCATACATTAAAATTTGCTTTATTCTTTAACATATTAATCCAGTCGATAACATAATGCAAGCAAGACACGATACAACTGCTTGTACACCTTACAGCAGTTGTCTTCAAGATTGTGTTGTTTTTTTGACCGGTTGTACGAAGTTGATATTTAGCATGTTGTACCAACTCACTATCAACGTGAACGTACGACACCCGCAACTCGTCGATTCTCAGGGTTACAGTAACTGGTTTCACTTAAGACCCCTCACAGTGCAAACAATTGTAAACTTTAACATGGGGATGTCATGCGAGGTAACCAATTGACTCCCTTTGCATTACTTTCCTGATTCACAGTCATATACCAGTGACCAAAGACTAAATCCTATCTAGTTCAATGTATACAGTTCGAATAACTTCTTTGTTGGTTGGTTTTTTGGTGGTAGTTTTTTATTTATACTTGGGGACACATCTTGTATTGTTACGGCTTATAGGACGACCGACGAAACAGAGTTAATTGGAATTTTCATTGCTAACGGGTAAGAAGTTAGTGAGACAACATAAGATTTTCTCTCGAGAGATCGCAAAAAGTAAACGAATAGCATTTTGCAAAACATTTAAATAAAATAAATAAAAACATAATGAATGAAATAATAAATATTCCTGCATCTCCAATTGATATAGGCATGGGCTATGGTGCTCCACGGATGCACATTTTTTTGCTGGATTTGTCTCTCTAATGATAAAAATAGCTCATCCATCATCCGATCTTAAATTATTTATTTTTCATCTTTGCTTTTTGTAAAATAAGACCACTTGTTGGATAGGTATTTTTTTAATATTCAAATGATACCTATGATGTCAATATCAGTTGAGTGGATCCGGATCCAACTCGGGTCTTGGACACAGACTTTTAGGTCAACTATCCGTGTCCGGATCAGGGTACAAATACCTAACTCTGGAAAAAAATTAAAAAAATCCCAGAGTTTCTACTGCATTATACTTGTACCAAAAAATTCTACAATCAGGACAAAAATATCTAAACACTCACCCACCCACCCACTTGAATCTAATACCTATTTTACTTGTATGCTTCTCTTATTGACCAAAAAAGAACCTTTAAACCTGTCATTCATTCATCTACTGCACTTAACGGTCGTTGAAACGCCAACGTGCTCATTGTGTTCAGTGTCCATGTCATGTTTCACTCAACTGGTGAGAGTTGTCTAAATTAAATGATGTTATTCACGCTCTCAAATTGCACTCACTTGCGTTCACGACTCTCAACTGAGTTATTTGTATTCTGCTTTTAACGCGAGTTGGTTGTGTTTTTGTGGACGGAAGAAATACAGATCTTAATTTTGCAAGCCAACTTTATTCTTCTGATTTTTTATTTAGTACATAAACTGAATTCAACACAACGTCTGTTGTATCGCGCATCGTCGTTGGTATACGTGTGTATTTGTGTGTCTGCTACTGTTGCCCGTCCCCATTTATTGTAGTGACAAAAACAACAACAAAATTGAAGAGAAATTAATGAATAAAAAAAAAACAAGAATACAAAGAAATAAATTAGATTATTAAAGAAGAAATAAAAGCAAGAAAGAAACCAAAAGCTGCAAATAAATGTTAATTAATAAATGCAAATACAAGCATTTGTGAAATAAAGAAAGAAAAAATAATTTTAAACAAAGAAGAAAAGAATTTCAAAGTTGAAACCAGATATTCCAAGCAGACAGCGTAATAGGAAACGAGAAAAAAATAAACGAAGAAACTGCTGTGTGGAAATTTTTATTATTACAGAAGAGTACTATAAAATTATTTTTAAAGATTGTCTGTGCTGCACAGAACAACACAAAGCGCAATAAAGAGGAACAGAAAACCTGAAAAAGAACGGAATAAACCAGCAGAAGATAAAGGGTAAATAAAACAAGTATACAGCAAAGCATATACTATTTAGGTACTTGTACGTACACTGGGCCCCAGGAAAAAGGGCGACGTCAAAATAAGGAAAGAAGAAAGAAAATCCCCGAACAGTAAAAAACAACAACAGAGCAGCCGTGCTAAGTTGTACGTACATAAGAGAAAGGAAATTGTGTAAAGTGATGGTTTTTGCGCCGTTTTTTTTATTTTTTGTTTGTTTTCGCTGGGGATATTGTGTATGCATAGCCGAGTTGGTGTGTGTTTGTGTGGCGCGAGTGTATATTTTGCTGGCTGTGTGTTTTGATATTCTTTTTTTCTCTGGTGAATGACGACAAAAGGTCGGACCCGGACCGGTAATGAATGTATTTGCTGTTGTTATTATTGTTCTTCGTTAATGTGTGCGTGAGTGTATGCTTGCTGCTGGATTTTTTGGCTTTTTTCAGAAAAGACAGACATAGCGAGAGTGAGTGAGTGTATTTTATTTTCTGAGAAAAAGAGGGTGTTGGTTGAGTGCGAGAGAGAGCGTGTTTTTGAGAAATTGAGTTGGCCATTACGTTGGGAGTTTTCTATTGAATTGGAATATCCAGCCGACAGTTATTGCTGCTACATGAAAGTATTTACTAAGGCGTGTAATAAACACCCCCAACCCTACCGGTGGGAAATTGTGACTTGTTCCCTCATCACATTTGCTTGTATGTATCCATGTACTAATGCAAAACAAAATATATGCCCATGACTACATACTACATGTATGTAACAACTTGATGTATGTACATTTGTCTATAAATAAAATGGAAATAACGCGTTGAACCTATGCTCATAACCACCAACTTACCATTATTTTACTATTATTGTCGGCTTTCTGTTCGTTCGTTGTTGTGTTGTTGCGGTGATGTTTCATGTTACCGATGAATGAGTCAGTGTTTATATTTCTCTATATATCATATGTATGTATGCATTGTATATACAGATATTGCTGTATATAAAATACATCAATGACAATTGTTTGGGTGCGTTCGTGTCTATATGTGAGTGAGTGTGTG